TGTGTCTTATGACAATGTATTATAATTAGCATATAATGAGCAATGAGGGCAACTAGAAGTCACTTTTGTCACCATCTTGGTCCGAGCTGGTTTGGGCCAGTTTCTTTGTTACATCCTGTTTTGATCACAGGGTCATGATCAAGGCTCGGAAAACAAGTCCTGCTGATGTCGTACCTCACAACTATTTTGGGATTGGTCAGCAACTCAAATATTGCCTTCTGTTAAGCAATGTCTGTTAAACAGGAAAATGAATGAGAGACATAAATAGAGGGATCACAGGAAAATACAAATATCCACTAGCCATATCAAACATGCCAAACCATATCAAGTGCTCAACCTCATTCATAATTTAAAAATGCAAATTAAAAATACACCTGGATACTATTTTCATTTTCATCTGTCAGACTGGTGAAAATCCAAAGAGTGAATAAGAGGATATTCTTTCTGACACTGCCATGAAAACAAGAACTCACTCTTCAATGACAAAATTCTTCAAAGACCAGATACAGCAACTAGGCAATACTCATATAAACTGCAAATATATTTAACTTTTGTCCTTTGGTCTCATTTCTGGGAAGTTGTGGTATAATGATATATGTAAGGAATGACATTAGGGACAATTGCAGTGTTGTGTATATGAAAGTTGACTTCATATATTGAGTTATTCTGGTCATACCCAACTAAGTCAAGGCTGAGGGCCAGAGGAAAACCACTCAGGCAGACAGCACCTGCTCCAAGAACCATCTGCAAGCCCATGTGCTGAAATGTCTGCTGCAACTTTACAATCAGGTGTACCTCACAGCTGCTGGAACGACCTGCCGTGACTCAAAGACAAAGTCTACCTACTGTGTCACTCACCCATCAGAGCCTGCCAGCTCCCCAAACCTCTACCAGTGCCCACAAGTTTTCTTTCTAAACAATAGGTAACATTTCTTATTTAACTTTCAACCTTCTCTTTGTTTGTCAGACACACCAAACACATTTCTGGTCTGTGTATGCCCAGAATTACAATTCTGTGATTCCCGAATAACATGTTTAGAGATTCATCCTATAATGTGTTTGACTTTGACATGTGAGATGTAAAAACACTGTGAACAACACAAATGTTCATTCAAGGAGGCTATTTAAATTAGCTATGGTACATCAAGGCCATGGAATATGATGCAACTTGTATTAATCCTTTCTCCCATTGCTATAAAGAAATACCTGAGGCTGGGCAATTTATAAAGAAAAGAGGTTTAATTGTCTCACAGTTCCACAGGCTGTGCAGGAAGCATGGTCCTGGCTTCTGAGGAGGCCTCAGGAAACTTACAATCATGACGGAAGGCAAAGGGGAAGCGGGCACCTTTTACGTGGCCTGAGCGGGAGGAAGAGAGGGAGTTGCCCACACACTTTTAAAAACACGGATCTCGTGAGAACTCTATCACAAGAACAGCACCAAAGGGATGGTGCTAAACCATTCATGAAGGACCACCCCCATGATCCAATCACCTCCCACCAGGCCTCACCCTCAACACTGGGGATTACAATTCAACATGAGATTTCAGTGGGGACACAGATCCAAACCATATCACAACTGTAAAAAAAAAAAAAAAAAAAAAGAAAGAAAGAAAAAAGAAGAAAGAAAAGAAAAGAAAGGAAAAGAGTGTGAAAGTCCTGCTCCTTCCTGTGTTAACAGAGGGCCTCTACACAGAGGATTGAGGGGAAAAAGCAGGGTGGAGAAACACCTGTGGATTGCCCTTTGGGGTCTACTCAGATCTGCCCAATTTCCCATAAAACTAGTATTTAGGGTTTCTTTTGAATAAACATAGAAATTGACCCACCCTAGCTTAAAACTTGTGAAAGTTACATTTGTCTTATCTGAGTTCCTTTCTCACGAAACCAACCGTTGGGCCTTCCAGACAGCATCAAGGCACTGAAACTCAGCAGGTTCTTGAGGCCAGACCCCTCACCAGTCATGAAGCCCAGCTGCCTCCTCACTCTCCCTAATTTCTGTTTTCCCACACAGGGTGACATTTCTTCCCTGCTCTAGAAACTCCTAATTTTAGTGGGTTGAGGAGAGGGATTTGTGACTGAGCACCCGTCTCCGGGCTGTAGCACTTGAATGAGGCCTTCTTCTCTGGCACTGCTTTTGGTGATTGGCTTTCTGTGCAGGGCAGCAGACCTAGATGACAACCCTGATGTTTGGGTAGCACTGTCAGTGTGAGAGACATGGAAATCCTCCAGTTCTTGGTCGTCTTGGAGGAAAGAATTCAGACAAGAGATGCACAGCAAGAGGTAAAGGGTTAAGTAACCTTTATTTAAAGAGTCAGGAGCTCAGAGAGACAAGACAGAATCTGCCACTCAGGAGATAGAGCCAAAAGCTAGTGACTTATGAGGAATTCTTTTCTTTCTTTTTTTTTTCTTTTTTCTTTTTTTGAGACGGAGTCTCCCTCTGTCGCCCAGGCTGAAGTGCAGTGGTGCAATCTCAGCTCACTGCAAGCTGCGTCTTCCGGGTTCACGCCACTTTCCTGCCTCAGCCTCCCGAGTAGCTGGGACTACAGGCGCCCGGAAGAATTCTTACTGGAGCTTTTGGTGAAGGAAAACAGTACAGCCTGAAAGAGGAACAGGGTGGGCTGCTCAAAAGAATGAGTCCGTCCCTACTCACGCTGGGGAGACCCTCTGATGAGAGTTTTACAGGATTATTCATGACGGGCCCGGGTAGGGGCCGTACTAGTAAGCAAGTTTTGCGAAGTCCTCTGGGCACGCATGCGCCATGACCTCACACACGAATGCACCGCAGTGTTTCATTAGAATCCAAAATCTCTGCCCAGGGGTGTGTCTTTTTGGTATTATAATGAGCTAAAAGCTATTCAGGGGCGAGTTATTAGGGGTGCGCCCATGCTCTTCAGCGGAGAAAATCCCCAACCCGGCCACTGGCCACTTTCTGTGGAGTGTGGGGTCCCCAAGGAGACGGCCCTGGGGCTCAGGTGCTGCGTTTCCCGGGGCTCCCGCGCCCGCTCCTGCCTGGCTGCCGGCCGCTCCGACACTAGCACAAGGCGGGACTCGGAACAGGCATTCAGGGCAGCCAGTGGCCGCGAGGCGCTGAGAGGGGCTCCAAGAACCCCGACAGCCCCGGCGGGTGGGAGGCGGGCGCCCTGGGGTCGGCGGGGCTCCCCCTACCGGCCAGACCCGGGGAGCGGCGCGCGGAGGCTGCGAAGGTTCCGGAAGGGCCAGGAGGGGGCGTCGCGCGCTGACTCTCACAGGGCGCCGCTGGGGACGATGGCGCTGCTCGCCTTGCTCCTGGTCGTGGCCCTACCGCGGGCGTGGACAGACCTCAACCTGACTGCGAGACAACAAGATCCGGAGGACACCCCGCAGACGGGTGAGCCGGGCTCGCCCCGACAGCCAGGGCCGAGAGGACGGGGCCGGCGGCGTCTGCCCAGCACCGCGTGGCCGCCGCCCCCACTAGGCCGCGAGAACAGGGCGTTCAGGGGGCCCGCGGCGCCTGGAAGCCTCTGGGGAGCCTCGCCTCGTGCGGCTTCCCCCCGGGCGGCGGGGCAGCCTGAGCCCGGCCCTTCCCCAGACGTTGCCCTGCTCCGCCGCGTCCCTGGGAGCCCTCAGGCTGGAGGCCCCGGCGGCCTGGCCTCGGCGGGCTTCGCGGGCTGAGCACAGTTCAAACCGCGGGAGGAGGGCGGGCGCCTCCTGCAGAGCTAGGCCAGGCCCAGCCCAGACCAAGGAGGCCTCCTTTGAGGGAGCCAGGTGCGGGACCTGGGAGGCGGGTGGACCTGGAAGGTGGGCGGGAGGGCACGTGGGAGCAGACCCGAGCCCCGGGGTCGCTTCCGCAGCCGTCGGCCGGAAGATGCCAGGGCCCGCGGGTGCAGCGTGGCCGTGCCTGGGGTCAGGGTGCCCCGGCCGAGTGGGGGTGCGCTGTGAGCTCGTGTTGTGCGCTTGGATGTGGGAGGATGGGGGAGCCCCCAGGAGAGAAGACAAATCGCTCAGGCTGTAGAGAAGTCCGAGGGCTGGGCAGTTGATAAAGAAGAGAGGTGTCATTGGCTCACAGCACCGCAGGCTGTCCAGGAAGCATGGTGCTGGCTTCTGGGGAGGCCTCAGGACACTGAAAATCATGGGCGAAGGCGAAGGGGAAGCGGGCGGCTCTTACGTGGCCTGAGACCCTTCCTGCTTTCTCCCCACGCGGCTCACTCAGAGTCATGTGGCGCTAGCCACTGCTCAGGGGGAGAAAGATGGGGACCCGCCGAGTTTGTGCTGGCTCCGATGCTGGCTGTGTGCCTCAGCTAGGCACAGATAACTGGAATATTCTACTTTCTTTTTATTCCTCCTTTCAGACGAGGGTGACGATAGAGTGTGGTGTCACGTTTGTGAGAGAGAAAACACTTTTGAGTGCGAGAACCCGAGGAGGTGCCAATGGACAGAGTCATACTGCGTTATAGCGGCCGTGAGTGAGTATCTTCCCTCTTGTTGGAGACCAACAGGCAGGTGAACAGAGGACTTTCAGGAATCAGGGCTGTCTAGTTTTTTCCAATAGGGAATAACTAATAGAAAGTAGTTTTTTGTTTGTTTGTTTGTTTGAGATGGAGTCAGGCTGGAGTGCATTGGCGTGATCTCGGCCCACTGCAACCTCGCCTCCCAGGTTCAAGCGATTCTCCTGCCTCAGCCTCCTGAGTAGCTGGGATTATGGACACGTGCCACCACACCGGCTTATTTTTTATTTTTAGTAGAGGCTGGGTTTCATCATGTTGGTCAGGCTGGTCTCAAACTCCTCAGCTGAGCCACCCACCCTTGGCCCCCTAAAGTGCTGGGATTACAGGTGTGAGCCACCGCACCCTGCCTTTTTTGTCCTTTAAAATGTGAAGAGCAAAGTCCTGAGAGGCCAGGGAGAGGTGAAGGGGGAGTGGGGTGGGGTTCAGTCCGTAAGAACTGTGCTAGTGTAAGGCAGTGCCTGCTACAGTGGGTCCAGATAAAATATTGGGAGGTAGGAAGAAAATCTGGGTTTCATGTCATCCATTTTTAAATGAAAAATTAAGCTTTAATAATGTTGAATGCGCCACTGAGAACAGTGTCTGTGTCACTCTTACAAGAGATGCACAAAACCAAGGTGTACAGCCTTCAAGTGTGTTCTCGAAGAAGGGTGCATGCCTTAAAAACTGGAGACTGCTGCTCTGTCATCTGTGATTCCCCTGAAAAGCTTTGGGTACGTGAAGCCCTCCCCGAGGGGAATCTGGACACCCAGCACATTCTGCCCACAGGGCAGTCTTCCGGGCGGGTGAATTCTGATTCCAGCCAGCAGTTGCTCTCCAGCCCTTCCGTATCCACGAAGTTGGTGGGGCGCCGAGGTGATGCTTCAGGCTCAGTGTAACCAACATTGACTTTTTAACTTAATATGGCAAAATGATTTGTACAGTGAAGTATAAGATGAAGTGTGGTCACGAGACAAGACCCCCAGCTCAGAGCCGAGCCAGGCCCACCGAGAGGCCGGCTCCATGCCCTGGGTGATGGCCAGAATGGCTGGGAGTCATGTGTCTGTCTGTGGTCACAAAGGCCTGAGCCAACCCTGTGTTTGAGAAGTTGAGACCTGTGTGTTCCCAAACAGCGACCCCTAGACCCGCATTCCCAGTGCATGTGGACATGCCATACCACGCAGAAGCCAGCCCTCCCCCAAAGCAGCATTCAACACACAGGCCTGGCCCTCGTCCTCCCGACCCCCACTTGGTGCCCCAATTGAGTGTGCACCTTTGAACAGGGCCACCAGGGGTAAGGCTTTGACCCAGACAGAAAGGCCTTGGTGTCAGGCGTTGGAATTGCGTGATTGCCTTCTCTCGGTCTTTATTTCCTATTAGAAATATTTCCACGTTTTTTCATAATTTCGAAGCAGTGCTCCACTAGTTGTGCAGCGATTGAGATACCCAAGCCAGCGGAGAAGCGGTTTCTCCTGGAAGAGCCCCTGCCTTTCTTTTACCTCAAGTGTTGTAGAACTCGCTACTGCAATTTACAGGGGCCGGATATCAACACATCATCATTCAAAGAATATGCTGGGAGTGTGGGTGAGAGCTGTGGTGGGCTGGGGCTGGCCGTCCTCCTGCTGCTGGTCTCCATTGCAGCCAGCTTTAGCCTGCGTTGAGCCACAGGACTGCCATGGACTGAGCCTTTTGAAGCATGGACTCGCTCCAGACTATTGTCACCTGTTGCATTAAACTTGTTTTCTGTTGATTACCTCTTGGTTTGACTTCCCAGGGTCTTGGGATGGGAGAGTGGGGATCAGGTGAAGTTGGCTTTTAACCCTCAAGGGTTCTTCAGCTCACATTGAGAGGAAGTCCAGATCTCCTGAGTAGTGATTTTGGTGACAAGGTTTTCTGTTTGAAATCAAACGTTGTAACTCATTTATTGCTGACAGCCACTCTTTTCCTTGACTCCCCTCTGCCTCTGAGGGCTTCAGTATTGATGGGGAGGGAGGCCAAAGCACCACTCATGAGAGAGTATGTGCCCAGATGCTTCTGACCTTTCAGGTGACGCAGAAGCACTGGGGGAGTCTGAATGATTGGGGTGAAGACATCCCTGGAGTGAAGGACTCCTCAGCATGGGGGACAGTGGGGCACACGTTAGGGCTGCCCCCATTCCAGTGGGGATGGCACTATGGATGGCTGCTTTTCCTCAACCTTTCCTACCAGATTCCAGGAGGCAGAAGATAACTAATTCTGTTGAAGAAACTTAGACTTCACCCACCAGCTGGCACAGATGCACGGATTCATAAATTCCCACACGTGTGTGTTCAACATCTGAAACTTGGGCCCAGTAGAGAGCATCGGGGTAAATGGCCTTCATTTCTCTATCAAGATGCAGCCATCCACGGAGAGCTGAGAAATCAGACTCAGAGTTCCACCTGAAACAAACACAAGGGGACTTCAAAAGTTCACAGAAAAATTGAACTAAAAGATAACAATTAAAAAATAGGTTTTATTTCTCAGCATGCGCTCCATCAAGGTTGAGATGCTTTTGTAAGTGATGGTAGCAGCCATTCAGTTCATCCCTAAAGAACTAGGCGCCCTGGGAATTTAACCATGCCACTTCAGTCTTTGTTACGTTATTAACTGAAGAAAAGTGGGTGGACTTTAAAGATTTTTTAAAGTTTTAAAACAGAAGTAACCAAATCAGGCCTGGAAGGTATATGCCTAGTGATTTCCCATTGAAACTCTCACAAAACTGGCCTTGTTTGATGAGAGGAATGAGCAGGAGCATTGTCATGATGGAGAAGGGCTCTCTGGTGAAGCTCTCCAGAGTGATGATTTCCTGGGTGTTTTGCTGCTAAATCATTGACTTTCTCTATACACTCTCATAATAAGATGTTACTGTTCTTTGGCTCTCCAGAAAGTCAATAAGCAAGATGCCTTGGGCATCCACAAAACGGTTGCCATGAGCTTTGCCCTTGACATGTCCGCTTTTGCTCTAACGGGACCACTCCCACCTCTCGGTAGTCATTCCTTCGCTTGTGCTTTGCCTTCAGGAGTGTACTGGTTAAGCCATGTTTCATCTCCGGCTATAATTATTTGAAGAAATGCTTCAGGATCTTGATTCCACTTGTTTAAAATTGCCGGAGAATGCTTTTCTCTTGTCTGCAGCTGAGCTGGGAGAAACAGTTTTGGCACCCACTGAGTGGAGAGTTTACTTAACTTTAATTTCGGTCAGAATTGTGTAAGCTGAACACTTTGGGATGCCTACAGCATTGGCTGTTGTTTCTGCTGTTATTAATCAGTACTCTTAAATTAGGGTACAAACAAGATGAATTGTTTCCTCACAGACTGATGTGGCTGGTCTGCTGCTATGGACTTCATCTCCAACATCATCTCTTCCCTTCTTCCAATGAGTAATCCACTTACTTAAACTGCTGATTTCTTTGGGGCATTGTCCCTATAAACTTTCAAAAAATCATCAATGATTTCACCATTTTTCCAGCCAAGCTTCACCATCAATTGCATATTCTGGTTTCAATTTTAGCAGAATTCATGCGTCTGATACGAGCTCTTTTCAAACTATTGTCTTATACTTCTTAGGGCCCCAAACTAGATCCTGTTCAGACATGTTTTCACAAGTTAGTATAAGTTTATTTTGTTGCAAAAAAAATTGAAATCCATGCATTCTTTTTCCCAGTATGCATTTTCCATGAACGTTCTAAAGATCACTCATCCTTCCTCCCCATGTTGCCTATTCAGTGTCAGGGAGGATGTGACCCTACCCACTGCCCACTTTTGTCTCCCTTCTGTCACCACCATCCTGGCCAGCCACTGCTTGGTCTAATACCAGAGGCTGGTGGGTGGGGAACCCTGGGGAACCTTCCAGATAGAGTTTCTTCACTCTTCCTGAGGCATGGGAAACAGGCTCATCTCAGTCACATCTGAACACTTCAAACCTGAGGCCAAAGTCCATTCTGGGGGCAGTGGGCAGGGAGGGTCCCAGCAACTCAGGACCGTATAGGACCACCAGCACCTGTCGGGCTCTGCCTGTGTGTACATCTTTTTACCCATCACAGGCTTGTGTTCACATCCTGCCATTCATACCAGCACCCAGAAACAGTAGCCCCAGCTGCTTCCAATTCACAGCCCTGGACTTGAGTTTGGGGAGCATTACTTTTGTTAAGGCAGGCAAAAGTGGGAACTTCATTCAGAAAGAGCAAGTGAGGTAGGAGGTCAGCCACATGAGAGAGTTTCCATGTCAAGCTTCCATTAAAGTCTCTTCAAGTGAAGGATGTAATCTGTGATGTAAAATAATAGCAAGTCAAGAAATGTGAATATGGAAAGGTCCGAACTTGGGAACTGCTGGGTCTCTGGTAATACTAGGAGCACTCTCAATTACTTGAGTAAGGGACATAGAAAATTATTGCAGGGTTAGGAATTAGAATGGATCAAGGAGTTTGCTGTCTCCGGTGTGATAGATGCTCTTTCTAGAAAAGTCACCATGGATGGAAGACAGAATGGAGGGTAGTGTCTAGAAAAGAATAAGGTTCAACATAGATGCTCCATTATGAATGTAAAAGCTTGAGTATTTGTTGACAAAAGGTTAAGGGCCAGTCTAGAGTGAGGGATTGGAGAAGCAGGAGATGGTGGCCCAGCTGGTCAGGGAAAGTCCTTACACAGGCAGAATAGAACAGGGAACAGATCCAAGGCTGAGACACTGACAAGGAGAGCAGACACTTCTATCAACGTGGAAGAGCAATAGGCAAGAATACTGAGAAAGATCATGTATGGGAAGGGACCAGGAAGTTGAAAGAATTCATCCCCAGCACTCACATTTTCTCTGTGAAACAGAGTACAGTGGTGTCTGCTCAGAGAATGAGGGTACAAATAAGGTTGGACTTTGAGTGCCATGATGGAAGCTTCGGACTATCCCTAAAGGCAAGAGAGAAGGGATATCTTAGGGGACATAACATAGGATAGCCCAGCATTGTGGAGGTCATGGCTAAGACAGGGCATTAAACATTTGCAGAGACCTGCAAGAGTTCAGTGGTGGATTTTCCCCAGCAGCAGTCCATGTTTATGAGGGGGAAAGGCAGATGACAAACGTATATCTGGGTGTGAGCCAGTTCAGAAGGTCAAGATGGAAAGAGAGCAGTTGAGTGATGAACTGTGGAAGATTGACTGAATGGAGAAGTCAAAGTAAGGTTAGAAATACCAGTTCTGAAGAACAGTACCAAGGCCAGAGGCTGTAGACGGCACAGAAACACAGAGCAGATGTTAGCAATCCCATGATTAAGAGAGTAGGAAAGATGGAGATTACAACCACTAAAAATAACCAGAACTTAGTACACAATAAATGAAGGCTCAAAACTAATGGGGAAAGAATGGATTATTGAATAAATGATATTGTTAAAATAGGCTACTGTGTTACTACTAGATCAGGTGTGTGAGTAATGGAAATCCCCAAATCATAATGACTTAAACAACACAAGAATGTGTATTCCTTGCTCTTGTAAATGAAGTGAGCAAGTAAGCAGCACAGGGCTGTGGGCGACTGCTGGAAGGACCCCTTTTCACGTGCCACCACAGCTTGGAGCACACACGGGGAAAGGGTAATGTATGGGTTCCGTAAGACCAGCATGGTTTTCAGAATTATAAATTCTCCAAAATATATATGCATGTATAGATCATCACCTATGTGTAGGCTTTAAAAACAAAATTGAAAATTTGAGGTTCTACTTTGAGTCCAGAAAGCAGTCTTCTAAGAATAAGTATGTCAGGGTTTCCAAGAGCTGCTGGTAGCCTGGCGGCTGGACTCAGAGGATACATGAAGACACACTAGAAAGTATCTTGAACATGGATTTCATGTCTTGATCTCTGAAACAGAAAATGACCCTCCTGTAATACACATGAATTAATTCATAAATCTCCAAACAGCTAGACTTTCTGAAGGCTCTGCTTCGTCAAACAAACATGTCCAGGTCTCTGAAATGCCCTTCTATCTCAAGCACTAAAACACTATTACTGACTAAATTCTTTTACGGGCAAGCACAAAACTGATACTATAAAACAGAAACAGCACAAGAAAGGAAATTAGAAGCCATCATAATTGTGAACAAAAAATAAGTAAAATATTGGCTAATCAAATCCAAGTGTAGTAAAATACTAATACATTATGATAAGTACAGTTTATCCCAAAAATGCGAGAATAATAAAATCTTAGGAAAAGATATCACTCGCCATAGCAAGAGAATATGGAATAACCAAATGATAATCTATATTCAGTTATAACATTTTAAAAATCTTGGATACCTAAGAATAGAAGGCAATTTCAATATTTTGAAAAAAGTTACTTACCAGAAACCTAACGCAAACACCATACTTAGTGGTGAAGCATTAGTAGTGTTCTGTCTAAACGCAAAAACATGATAAGCCTATATACATTGTTACCATTGCAATAAAACATTAAAGTGGAGAGTTTAGCCATGTAGTATAAGAAAAATAAAGAGTATAGAAACTTGTTCCTGGCCGGGCGCGGTGGCTCAAGCCTGTAATCCTAGCACTTTGGGAGGCCGAGGCGGGCAGATCACGAGGTCAGGAGATCGAGACCATCCTGGCTAACACGGTGAAACCCCATCTCTACTAAAAAAAAATACAAAAAACTAGCCAGGCGAGGTGGCGGGCGCCTGTAGTCCCAGCTACTCGGGAGGCTGAGGCAGGAGAATGGCGTGAACCCGGGAGGCGGAGCTTGCAGTGAGCCGAGATCCGGCCACTGCACTCCAGCCTGGGCGGCAGAGCGAGACTCCGTCTCAAAAAAAAAAAAAAAAAAAAAAGGAAACTTGTTCCCAACAAATCTGCCACATTAGATAGTCACCTATAACAGAAGACCTTAGATTAATTAATTTGTAAAGAACAGAAATTTATTGCTCACAGTTCTGGAGGTGGGGAAGTCAAAGATCAAGATGCCAACAGATTTGATGTCTGGTGAAGGCCTGTTCCTCATAGATGGCACCTTCTATGCGTCTCTGGAAAGACCTAAAGAGGCGAAGACATTCCCTTTGGTCTCTTTCATAAAGGCATGAATCACATTCTTGAGGGGTGCCTCCAAAAGGGATGCACCTCTTTTGTTTGTTTGTTTGTTTTTGACATGGAGTCTCGCTCTTGTCACCCAGACTGGAGTGCAGTGGCGAGATTTTGGCCCACTGCAGCCTCCGCCGCCTCCTGGGTTCAAGTTATTCTCCTGCCTCAGCCTCCTGAGTAGCCAGAATTATAGGCACCTGCCACCACACCCGGCTAATTTTTGTACTTTTAGTAGAGATGAAGTTTTGCCATGTTGGCCAGGCTGGTCTCAAACTCCTGACTTCAGGTGATCCACCGGCCTCACCTTCCCAAAGTGTTGGGATTATAGGTGTGAGCCATCGCGCCGGGCTGGGTTGCACCTCTTAATACCAACACAATGGTGATTAAGTTTCAATATGAATTTTGGAGGGACACAAACATTTGTACCATGCCATTCTGCCCCTGCCCACCCCCAAACTCATGCCTTTCTGACATTTAAAATAAATTTATTCCATCTCAAAACTCTTAACTTCAGTTAAGTCTTAATGTAGTTCCAGCATCAACTCAAAAGTCTGAAATCCAAAGTCTTATCTAAGTATCACCTAAAATAGATATGGATGAGACTCAAGGTAAGATTTCTTCTGAGGCAAATTTGTCTCCAGCCATGAACGTGCAAAATCAAACAAGTGACATGCTTCCAAAATACAATGGTGGGACAGGTATAGGATAAACATGCTTATTTCAACATAGAGAAATAGGAAGGAAGGAGTGACAGGCCCTGATCAAGTACAAAACCCAACAGGGCAAACATTAAATCTAAGTCTCCAAAATATTTTTTAATCCACGCCACACATTCTGGACACACTGGAGTGGGGCTTGAACTCCCAAGGTTTTTGGCAGCCCTGCAGCCTGCCCTCCTGGTTTTGCTAGGTGCACCTCTCACAGGCTGGAGTTGCATGCTGGTGGCTCTACTGGTCTGGGGTCTTCAGGGCAGCCCTGCTTTTATGATGCCACTGGGTATTGCTCTCTCCAGTGACCCCTGCCACATCTGTTGCTGTTCTCTGCCTGTGCCCTAAGTCTGTCTGAGGCATCCTTTGAAATCTAGGTGGAGGCAACCATTCCTCCAAAGCCCGTGTGGAAATGGTACCATACAGATGCTGCCAAGGTTTACCACATATGCTGCCCTCCTGGGGGGCACTCTGAACTGGTCCTGGGCCTACTTGAGTCACAGCTGTAACAGCCAATGCAGGCCCAGAACTGGAATGCAGAGAGCAAAGCCTTGCAGTCATTTTGCTCCCAAGACCCTGGTGTTCTGGACCTGTGGTGGGTGAGACATCCACGAAAGTCTCAGAAATGCCCTCAAGATCATTCCTCCATTGTCTTGATGAATAACATACAGTTTCCTTCTATCCATACTGGTCTCCTTATCAAACATTTGCTTGACCACACCTTTGGTTTCTCTCCTGGACACACTTTCACATTCTTTACAATATCGTCAGCTGAGAATTTTCCAGATATTCAAGTTTTGCTTCCCTTTTGATGATAAATTCTGTCTTTAATTCGTGACTCTCTTCTTGCATTTCACTATAAGCAGTCAAGAGAAGCTGTGCCACACCCTGAACACTTTGCTTAGAGATTTCTTCTTTCACATATTCTACCTTGTTGCTGATAAGTTCTTCCTTCTACAAAAGGCTAGAACATGAACACAATTCAGCCAAGTTATTTGTCACTTAGTAACAAGGATTGCCTTTCCTTCCGTTTCTAATAAAATCTGTCCTTCATTTCTGTCTGGTACTTCATAAGAATGGCCTTTACTGTCCATGTTTCTACCCAGATTTTGATCATGACCACTTGGATAATCTCCAAGAAGGCTGAGGATTTTCTCTATAGCTCTTCTCTTCTTTTGAGCCCTCACCAGAATAGCCAATGTTTGATTAGAGCCTGTTCCTCATAGATGACACCTTCTATGTGTCCTCATGTGGCAGAAGGAGCTAGAATGATCCTTTCAATCTCTTTTATAACAGCATTAATCCCATTTAAGAGGATGGAACTTTCATGATCTAATTACTTCCCAAAGGACCCCACCTCTTAATACCAATGCAATGGAGATTAGACTGCAACATTTTGGAGGGACATGATATTCAGACTATTTGCAATAGCTTAAAACTCTTCTATTATAAAACACTTCCTCTGATTCTCTGGCTGCTCAGATTAAAAAAAATTTAAAAAAAAAACACTTTTAAATCCTGAATGAAAAAATATCTTAAATCCTTTTCAACTCTATGCCAAGTTAACACGAACATTTCAGAGGCCAAAAATAAAATGGGAACTGGATCATGATTCAACATGGTAGTTAAGTCAGGAGGCTGGAAGTTGCCTTGAGAATGTTTGCTTTTCTGTAATTATCTTGTGCCACATGTAAGGGATAGGAGACAAGGCACCAGATGTCCATAAGATAGGAAGTTAAAATTAAAAAAACACATAAATTAGGAGCTTAGGAAGGGATATACCTTAAATTAAACACTAAACTAGGAAGAAAGACACAGTCTGCACAACCCTGTCTGCCTCACTATTGGCTCTGCATGAAGGTACAAATAGGAAGAGAAGTTTCACCTCAGAATCCAGAAACATCCAGAGTACAGGGTTTGTATTTATATTACTAGTTAAATACACTACACTCTGAACCAAGAAATAAATGTAAGGTAATAATGGATTGGTTTCACTCTAGATGCCTAGAAATCAAAGGAAAATTCTCTCTGAAGGAATAGACTCAGAGTCCAGAAATCATAGAATTCTCATAGATACTGTCTCCATAAATCTGCTATAAATCAAAATTTACAAAAGAAAAATAAAAACAAGAAGCAATGAATGAGTAGAATTAGAGCATAAAAGGTTTTAAACATTGGAAAAAATAGATATCAAATACAAAATACGTTTCCTTAAAGAAATAAAAGATCAGCTGGGCATGGTGGCTCATACCTGTAATCCCGGCACTTTGGAGGCCAAAGTGGGAAGATTGCTTGAGTGCAGAAGTTAGACACCAGCCTGGGCAACATAGGACGACCCTATCTCTGTTTTATAAAACTAAAATAACTTTAAAGAAAGAAAAAAATCATAGAAAGCATCAGGAAAGAATATAATACCATCAGAAAAATACTGGGCAGCCTTGACCCCCCCCCAAAATAAAAAGAAATCTAAAGAGAACATCTAGAAGTAAAAAAATATATAACCACCATATGTTAAAACTCAAGGGATAAATTGAATTAACAGATTAGACACAGACGAAGAGAGAATAAGAAACTGGAACATGAGCTGAAGAAACTACTCACATGTGACCCAGAGATAATAAGAGTTGGAAAATACAAAGAATAAACTAGAAGACAGGCATAATAGAATTAGTCTGATATAGAAATTAGCAGAATTTCAGAAGAAGAGAGTACAGACAATATTCAAAGAATTAACAATGAGTGGTTTTTCCAAAATTGATTAAAGACATTAATACTCAGATAAAGTAATCATATTGAGGCACATTCAGAGTATTGCTTCAGGATTCCAAAGCCGAGAGGAAAATTTAAAACCTGCCAGAGAGAAAAGACACACATCTAAAAAATAACAACAATTACATTTGCACTAACTTCTCAATTTGAACATGGAAGTTAGAAGATGGTGTACTAGTGTCTCCAAAGTGTTGAAAGAAAATGACAAGAAATTAAGGTAGAATTGAATATTTGAATAAAGGCATTTTCTGATAAATACAAAACTGAAATTGTTTACCATTGCTCAGCCATTACTAAATGAACTCCCAAAATATTCTTTAAAATGAGTAAAAATAATCTCAGGCAGATGCAATGAAAGAAGGAATCATAGAAAAAGATATATTAATGTGTGGTGCTATGGGTTGAATTGTGGTGTTTTTCCTACCCACCCCATAAATTCACATATTGAAGCCCTAACCTCCAAAATGGCTGCATTTGGAGTAAGTAATTAAGGTTAAATAAGGTCATAGGTGTTAGCTTCCCATCTGGTAAAATTAGTCTCCTAATATGAAGAGCCACCAGAGAGCTCCATCTCTCTCCACCATGTGAGGACATAATGACAAGTTGCCATGTATGAACCAGAGAGTGAGCCCTCACCAGATAATGAATCTGCCTGCACCTAGATCTTGGACTTCCCAGCCCCCAGAACTGTGAGAAATAAATGTCTGTTGTTTAAGCCTCCCAGTTTGTGGTAATTTATTATGGCAGCTAGAGAGGACTAAGACATATGGAAAAATCAAAACTATCATTGAATAGATAGCACAATAAGAATTTCCAATTTATGGGGGCTTAAAGAAGAGTGATAATACTAGATACACGTGGCATAAAAGGAAAGAGGGAGGTGATAGAGTTGTTCTGTAGTTTTTGCAGAGTTCATAAGGAGATTCAGATATGTGGAAAAAATTTGGCCAGGCATGGTGGCTCACATCTGTAATCCCGGCACTTTGGGACGCCCAGGTGGGCAGATCACGAGGTCAGGAGATCGAGACCATCCTGGCTAACACAATGAAACCCTGTCTCTACTAAAAATACAAAAAAACTAGCCGGGCATGGTGGCACATGCCTGTAGTGCCAGCTACTTGAGAGGCTGAGGCAGGAGAATCGCTTGAACCCAGGAGGCACAGGTTGCCATGAGCTAAGATCGTGCCACTGCACTCCAGCCTGGGTGACAGAGCGAGACTCTGTCTCAAAAGGGAAAAGAAAAAAAAAGAAAAAATTAAAGAGTAAATTCCAAAATGCAAAATGATAGAAATCGAGTTTTAAACTTCTATGTATGTATAGAAAAATAAGAGATCAATATTGAATGGTGAAAAGCATAAAAGAAATAAAAAGAACTAAACAAGATGATAGAAATATATCCTTATGCCTTAGTAATGACAACAAATAAAATCACCAGTTCTAGCCTGGGCAACATGGCAAAGCCTCGTCCCTACAATAAAA